AGATCTTCTCCAGAGAATCAGGTACTTTCTTCATCTTTTCCTTCTTGCTGGTAACGAGACCAGCCCCATAGTCAGAGATCATGACTTTAGACGCAAAGGTGGGGCTCAGGAGATGACTCAGATGGCTGGGGTGCAAGCTCTGAATGCAGGAGCCCTGGGTTTGATCCCTAGCACTGCATCCCAGAAGTGACCCCTGAGCACCACCTTCTGTGGGCAACACTTCTCCCATCCCCTCTGTCTGCTGCTGCAAATAGACTCAAAGACAGAATTCTATTAAAGAAGGCCACCTTCTAACCAGGCCTGGACGTTGTCATTCTCTCCTGTTCAAGCAATTGTTCCTGCTGATGCTACACACCTGCCGTTTTGCTAGCTATAGTGTACTTTCTCTGGCTGTCTTAGGGAACAGAGCCTTCAAATGCCTTCCATCTTCAGAAAGTGCGGAGTTACACTCACACTGCATTTGGTTACCTTGGTGCTTTTCTCTTCTTGTGGCTGATAATCATGCTGACAGCTCTTTCATTTGGCCAGTGACTTCCTTCTTGCATAACAGACCTGTGTTTGGAAGGAGTTGCTTCTGTCCTTTAGGCCTGGATAGATTCCAGGACCTCAATGATGACCAGCCTTTCTAGCACATGCGTAATATTACACAGAAATACGCGTTAGGAAAAATTTCAGGGCAGTGCAGAGCAAGAAAAAATTTTGTTTATTTTTGGAAGGGCCACACCCAGCAGTGCTCAAGTCTTACTCCTGGCTCTGTGCTCAGGGATCACTCCTGGCTGAGAGAGAGAGAGAGAGAGAGAGAGAGAGAGAGAGAGAGAGAGAGAGAGAGAGAAGTGCTTGCTAGAGAGACTGACTGGGGCGGGGGGGGGGGGGGGGGAGGGTGGCGTAAGGGAAACGGGAGACTTTGGTGGTGGGAAATGTATACTGGTGGGTGAATGGATGGATATTGGGACACTGTATGACTGTAATCCGGCCATGATCAGCGTTGTAACTCTGTATTTCACGGCGATTCAAAAAAAAAAAAAAAAAGGAAAAAATCCCAAAACCAATGTGCCTCCTCCCCCCATGTCTTCCATTCTAGGCTCATAGTCTTTGTTCCTAGCTTGCATCTTTCACTAATAAGTAGAAAAAGGTCTGCAAAAATATGTTTTTTAATATATGGGCCACACCCAGCATTTTGAGGGGCATGGAGTCAGGATCAGCCCTGGTGAAGCGCAGCACGGGCGCTGACTGGTGATGCTCAGGATGCAGTGGTGCTCATGGATGGGGACTCAGGACATCTGCTCTGGGAATGGACTCAGGGCCTTGCAGACAGAGCGCAGGCTCTATCTCCTGAGAGTTTAATCCTGGCTCTGGGGAATGAATTTTTATTGCACAGGTTTATGCTTACTGGAAAACCATGCAGAAGAGCGATGAAGAACACAGGGACCAGAGTCCAATAGATGAGGGTTTGAACGGCGTCAAATTCATCAGGACCAGGTCCTCATCCTCAAATAGCTGCAGAGTTTGTTCAATAATTGAATCTGTGTCCTCACTGGCAAAATGGGATAATAAAATTTTCTGAACAATTAAAAAAAAAAAGACTTATCTAAATGATTATAAATAAACTAAAAATGGAATTAATGAATGGTAGTGAAGGGCCAGGGCAAGAGCACAGTGAGAAGGGAACTTGCATTGCCTGGTGTAATCCCTGGCACCCCAAATGGTCTCTTGAGCCCTTTAGGAATGATTCCTCAGCACAGAGCCAGGAGTAAATCTTGTATACAACCGGTGTGGTCCCAAACCCAAAAACCAAAAGAAAAAGAAAAGGTGATGAAAATGACCTATTCTGCTCCTTTTCCTGAAGCCAACTGTTTTTATCTAATTATCTCATCGGCCCTATAAAATGGATATAACCCTTTTGTTTCATAGATGAAGAAGTGGATATAAAAGAAGCTGTGAGATGACATACAGTCCGGACTATTTTGCAAAGGAAAATATGGGATACTTAACTAACTCAAGGATATCTCAAGTAAAGCAATTATGTTAAATAGGTTGCAGAGCCATGTTTGTCTGACCTGATATTTTGCAATTCTCTGTGAGCTGTTATTCCTCACAGGTCATAATGCTGAGTGAGTTATTTACATTAAGTTTCTAGAGTCTGTTTTTTTTTTTTTTTTTCACAGACTAAGGTATCTTTGTGACTGCTTTGTATAAGGATTAGGGTGGGGGTTGCCTTGTTTTAGAAAGTAATGTGTTGGTGTCAGAGCAATAGTACAGTGGGTGGGGCATTTGCCTTGCATGTGGCCAACCTGGGTTCAATCCCTGTCATTCCATGTGGTCCTCAGAGCACCACCAGGACTAATTCCTAAGTGCAGAGCCAGGAGTAACCTCTGAGCACTGTATGCCCCCCACCTCCCAAAAATTAACAACGTGTTCGATGTTCTATAGCTCTAATTGAATTAAAATCTATTGAGGAGTCAACCTAATGCTCATCAAATCTAGTGATGAGTCAGCATAATATCAGTAACAATTAGTGTTTAATATAGTAAATTGAATAGTAAATTGTTGCAATCACGAGGATGGAACTGCAAGTAAAATCCTGAGCCTTCATGTCGAGAGAGCAAACATGATAATCAGAACAGGGCAAAGATAGGAGAGGAAGTAATTTAAGTTTCCTAAATTTAAAGAGAAATTTCCAAATGGCATTTCACAATCAATGACTTCAATATTTTCAATGAGTTTTACTCCCATTTTGGACAAAGGGAGGGTTAAAACAATGAAGGAAATTTTGCTTAAGACTTGGAATTGTGGTCAATGAACAATAGCAGAAAGATGTGTGGCAGTGTGAGTATACTTTTAAATATAAAATGGTGCATTTTGGGGGGTCCCCAAGATCAGTAGCTCTCAGGCTTACTTCTGGAACTCAGGGGACCATGTGTGCCAGGGATTGAACCTGGGTTCGCCACTTTAAGGCAACTCCCCAGTTACTCTCTCTCCAGCCTCGATGACACAAATATTTATTATACACATATTTGAGTTTTTCCTAGATTTCTTTGTATGATTTATTATTATCTTTAGCATTGTGATCTGGAAACGTACTTGATAATTTTGTTCACATATATTTTGTATCCTAGCACATGGTCTATCTTAGAGGAGAATGTTTTGCCTTTTTGAACTTGGAGAACACTGTACTTTTTTTTATTAAGCCAAAACCCACTGATTCTTCAATTAAAATTTTTATTTTCCCTCCCTCTGTCCTCCCCTGCCCCCCACATTCATCCTACTTTTGATTTTTTTTTTTTTTTTGCTACACCTTGTTGTGCTCAGTGCTTACTCCTGGCTTTGTACTCAGGGATTATTTCTGGCCAGTCTTGGCCCCCTTACGTTGTGCAGGGCACTGAACCCACTCTGGGTCCTGGCAGCTTCTCTTAGCTTTGGTGTTATTCCTGGAAGTGCTGGGGATTGGACCCTGGGTTTTCTTTCAGCAGTCTCCTCCACCCCTACCTACTCTATTCCTTACAGCTCAGAGATTTCTGCTTGGAGTTTTCTCTTCTTTTCCCTGTTTCCCCCCCCCCCCCAAGTTCTCAAGTTCTCTTCCACTGACTTAATTTCAGTGACCCCCCGTCCAGTTCTGGTGGTTTAGTTTTCACCAGAGACCTCAGAAAAAGTTTCAAAGCAGTGTGCGTTCTTTCCAGGCTTGATCTATCGTGGCAGGTCTGTCCGGCGCTTTCTTCATTAAACCTGGGGCTAGGGACCAGGGTCTATGTTTGAGCAGGCTGGAAGTGAACAGGCAGTCATGTGACAGGAACCTTGGCTCCCAGTTTCCTTGGGGCCAGGGCGGACGGTGCCTGCAAGAACTGTAGCACTAAGCTGCAGAGACCAGGATGTGTTCGCAGTTCCTGGTGGCAGGCCTGCAGCAGCATTCAAGCCAAGTGTGTGTGGGCACTCCGTGGACCCAGTGGCAGCTACTCCCAGTAGCACGCCCAAGTAGCACTGAGCTGACTTACATGACTGCAGTGGGGGCTGCATTGTATGCACCCTGGACACAGCCAGGTGTGGCCAAAAAAAAAAAAAAAGCATTTGTAGCACCATTAAAGCCAAGGTCAGGCAGACCCGGTTGCTCTTGTGGGGGCAAGGTTGTGTTTTCTGAGACCTGTTGTGGGTTCCTGAGTGACCAAGTGAACTGAATTTGGGTACACCTGAGCAGTGCCCAGGAAAATGAATTTGTGATTGCCTGGGTGTGTCCAGTTGAAACAGGTGGCAGGACTGCACCCTCTTGGAGCAGGACTGCACGTGGCCGGTGTGCACGTTCACATCTGTCTGGGGCTGCTCTGTGCCAATCTGGCCACGCCTGAGGGTGGCGGGGGGAGGAGGGGCAAAAGACTGGGGCTGTGGAAGCCGCCTGAATTAAGCTCCGAAAGGTCTGTGCTGCAGCCACCGTTAAATTTGTCAGTGCTGGGTTGCTTGCGGCAGGTTTGGGCAGACCTGGAGGGGAACCAGAGTTGAAGGAGAGCTTTGTGGGGTGTGGCTGAGCAGCACCAGGAACCCCAAGCTGCGGTCGCACAGGAGCGCCCACTGAACTGACAGTCCCCAGTAAAATCCAGCAGGAGCCGGCAGAGAGAAACACGCTTTTTAGCTCTCTTTTGTAAAGAAAACAAGATCCCAGGCTACGCGGGCCAGGAAGGGCAAGGATGAGATTTCCTCTGGGGAGCTCTTAGAGGACACATCCCCTCGAAAGCATCCCATCGGCGAGCTTCTTTCGCCCCCGTCGGTGCTGACAGATGATGACGCAGCATCTATCTCAAGGGCCGGGAGCGCAGCGTAGGGAAGCGGACGCTGCCCGCGGTCCCCAGGTCCGGCTGGCAAAGCAGGGGGGCGTGGCCTGGGCGCGGCGGGGCGTGGCCTGGAGGAGGGGCGGGGCGTGCCCCGGGCGCGGAGCCGCGGCGGGGGCGTGGTCAGGGGCGGGGGCGTGTCCGGCGGCGCCTGCGCGCGGCGGGGGCGGGGCGCGGCGGGGCGCACGCCGTAAACACACAACATGGCGGCGGCGCCGGGGGCTCTGGGCGCCCTGCGGGCCGGCCGTGCGCGCTGGGCGGCGGCGGCGGCGGCGAGCGGGGCCCGGCCGGGCGCCCTGGCGCGGTGGGCCGGGGGCTGGGCGCGCGCGGCCGCGGGGGCGGCGGCGCGCAGGGCTTACAGCGCGGAGGCCAAGACGGAGGACGAGCTGCGGGTGCGGTACCTGGAGGAGGAGCACCGAGGTGAGACGCGGGGGGCGCGGGGGGCGGACGGCGAAGGGCGCCGCCGAGGCAGGGCCGGACCCGGGGGCGCCCCGCACCCGCACCCGCGCGGGGCTGGCCGCGCTGCAGGCGTCCCGCTCACCTGTGCCCGCGGCCCCGAGGGCGCGGGGTCCGCGCTGCAGCAGGCGTCCCCTCCGCACGCACAAGCAAGGTCAGCGCCGGGGTCCCCGGTTGCGCCCCGCTTTTGCCCACTCAGGTGGTGGGTGGAGAGGGCCGGCCAGCTGCTGCCCTGCGATTGCATTTGGTCGTTCTGGGACTCTCGCACGCCGCCGGGCAGGGCTGCAGCAGCTGCAGCAGCTGCCCAGGGAATCCCGGGCAGGCGGCGCGGGTGGGTGTCCCAGCCCGGCCCCCGCCCCCCGCCTCCCTCCCCGGTTCCTTTTGCAGACTTCACTGGGAAAGACGCGAGTTTTTGCCGGGCTCGGCCTCTCCGGGCTGCCCCCGGGTGCGCGTAGCCCTGGGGACGCGGATGTGCGTGATACTGATCTTGCCCTTGAGTTCCTGCCTGGGCGGAGGCGGCTGCGGGAGCGCCAGACCTGCAGGGGTGCGGGGCGGGGCGGGGCGGGTGCTTGCTGAGGCTGTGCAGGACCTTGCCAAGGGTGCGGGGCGGGTGCAGGCTGAGGTTGTGCAGGGCCTTGCCAAGGGTGCGGGGCGGGGCGGGGCGGGGCGGGTGCAGGCTGAGGCTGTGCAGCACCTTGCCAGGGGTACAGGGAGGGTGCAGCCTGAGGCTGTGTAGAGCCCTGCCATGGGTGCGGGGCGGGTGCAGCCTGAGGCTGTGCAGCATCTTGCCAGGGTAAGGGGCGGGGGCAGCCTGAGGCTGTGCAGGGCCTTGCCAAGGGTGCGGGGCGGGGCGGGGCGGGTGCAGCCTGAGGCTTTGCAGGGCCTTGCCAAGGGTGCGGGGCGGGGCGAGGCGGCAGCTGGCGGGTGCAGGCTCCCAGCGGAGACCGTGCAGAGGGTGTGGGTCCCGGGGTTGCAGGCTCAGAACCCAGCTGGGCAGTGCGGGTCCCGAAAGCTCGGTTCTTTGCGCACGGCTGTGTAGGGCAGGACCTACACAGGGCACCGCCAACCTAGACGCCCGTTGGCGCCCATTGACCGAACGCCCAACATGAGGTCAAAGGAGCAGAGTTGTTTCTCAGCGTGGTCGCCCCTTTGCAGCCCCTGGGCTGGCGGGAGGAAGCGACGATTATTTCTGTCCTTATCCCTTTTACTTTTTTGTGGGGTCTGGGGCCTATTTTGCAGGGTGCCCAGGGCTCACTCTTGGGCGCGGCACGGGTCAGGCAGCTGGACCCTACCTACTGCAGTGATGCTTTTCAAGGCAGGCTGGAGCAAAAGATTTGTGCGAAGCTGTATGAGCATGCACTGTGTTTTCCAGGGGGAGGTCCTGAAGGATTCTGCCACCTTGGGGTCTGGGATGGGGCAGGGCATTCGGTCTGGGGTAGTCCTCACTTTGGCATCTGTTCTGCCTGGTGTCCTCCCTGGCTATTCTTCCTCTGCCTAACTTTCCTCACGTGTGAACGAGAAACAGCAGCAAACCAGCTCAGGCTGCTCAGAGAGCAAGACGAGCGCACCTACATAAAGGGCCACTGTATGTGTTGCTCAGGGATGGTGCCCTGGCGTGGTGGGCTCCTTCAGCTCTTCTCTTGACTCCAGGCAGTGGGCAGGGCTTCTTCCTGGCTCAGTTTTCAGCGGTCACCCTTGGTGGTGCCTGGGATTGAACTTGGGTCTGGTGCCTGCTGTACTCGTTTTGTGACTCTCTTGTTTCTTCGTGCCTGCTTAGTATTCCAGGCGGAGAGTGGAGCCAGGACAAAGGCATGAAGCAGGAGTGTGTGGGTGTGTTTGGGGACAGCCCAAGGCAGGTGTGGGTATTGGGCACACAGTGGCAGAATATGTAGAAATAGGCAGAGTGGAGTGGAGTCACCAGAGCAAGGGTGGGTAGTGACTTAGCGTCTCAGGGGTTTTCCTTACAGCCAGTGCTGCACCAGGTACACACGTATGCCAGGTGTGCTGGGCACCTTTGTAAAGGGCACTGTTTCCTACACATTTTTTTTTTGTCTTTCTGATTTAAGCGATTGAAAATTCAGTGTAAATTTGTGTTAAGATGTCTGCGGAGGCCTGACGTTGGAACCTGAGAGAGAGGAAAGGCTGTCCTGTCAGCTGGGAGGAAGCTGTTAGTACAGCTGCTTTCAGATGTCTAATAAACCACAATCAGCTGTTTGGACATCGGAGCGCTTCGGAAAATGGGCCTGGCCTCCTAGGGAGATTAGCAGGAGCATGGGTTCCGTGTGGCGGATGTTCTTTTGCTTTGCCATGGAGCCGGCAGTTGGGCCTGCAGTAAGGAGCGTGAGAGGTCAAGGGCTGCAGGAAGATGACTTTGCTTGGTACCTCCCCTCCTGGAGGTGAGTGGAAATAGGGTGCCCTTAGGGATCAGAGAAGCCTTAGGAGCCGGGCGGCTGCAGGCTGAGCACCCACGCCCGCAGTCTGTGTCACCCCCCCCCTCGTGGTTCCTTGCTGAATTCTGGCCGTCTACTCAGTTTACTCCGTGGCTGCAGCTTGCACGGTTGTCATGAGGCAGTGCTGCCAACCACAGTCTGTCCTGTCTCCGGCTGGAGGCTCTTCCGCTGGCCAGTCGGAGGCCATTCCCTGCAGTCTGCCTCCCGTGGCAGTGCTGGGCTGAAGGTCACAGAGAGCTTGTGCTTAGTTCCGAACCTCCCTGCAGGAGGCTTGATAGCAGGTAGGGCGCTTGTCTCGCATGCGGCCGACTTGGGTTCAATCCTCAGCACCCCCATTAGATCCCCTAAGTGATCACCACCTGGTGTGGTCCAAAACCAGCCCCCCTCCCCCCAAATCCCCCAACAAAACCCCTCCTTGCAGGCGTCCGCGTGTCCTTCCCCTTCCTCCGCTTCGTCGCCGTGCTCTTGCGGCCTCCCCTCCAGCCTCTCCCGGGGTGGCAAACTTGGGCTCATAATTGCCACCGTTTCCGAGCGTGCCTCTGTGGCCCCCATGGAGCAGCCTTCTGGTCGACCCAGAAGCCACAGTGCGTGCTGGCTCTGGTACCCCTGACACCCGTGCGTCCTCGCTTCTCGCAGCCGGGCCTCATCTTCCTGGGTCTCTGGCATCGCCACACTTGCCTTGTGCTCTTCATGGACCCAGGGCAGAGCCCGTGGGCAGGCCTTCCTGCCTCGGTTGCGCTGTCTGTCTGTCTGTGGGTCACTCCCTGCAGTACTCAGGGCTTCCTCCTGACTCTGCACCGAGATCATTCCTAGAGGTGGTCGTGGCGGGCGGGGGGGGAGGGCGGACGACCTCATGGGATGCCAGGATTGAGCAGGTGGGCCTGTGGAAGGCCAGCACCCTATTGGCTCTACTATCACTCTTGCCCCTCTGTCTTTTTTTAACTGTTTCATTCCTGTCATTTGTGTTTCCTCACGGCAGTGAGTTAAACCCCCAGGGAAGGAAGAGATTGAGATCAGTCTATGTGTTCACAAACCTTTGAGCTATGAGTTGAGTGAGAGACGCCTGGGTGTCGTGAGGGTGTTTGTGGAGCCGTGTTGTTGGCACCAGAGCCCGTCACGGAGCATGTTCTGTCCTGAGAGAGAATCCTGTGCTTTTGAGCAGGTCCCGTTCTTGGACGCTTTCCGTGCTATTACCTCTTCCCCCCCCCCCCCCCCCCCCCCCCCAGTCCTCAGGCACTTCTTGCTTGGCAGTTTTCCGCTCTGTACCCTGCACACGAGGCGGCCCCCAGCCTGTGTGACTCCTGGCTCAACTGTAGCACACAGGTGCCCTTTTTATGGCAGAATGGTATTTTATTGTATGGGCTTTTCTTCTCTTTTCCTTTTTTTTTTATTATTTTTTTAATTCCATGGATCTTTATGTTATGGAATTTGTTTATTCGTTGATGTACATTTGAGTCATTTGTACTTTTTGGCTGTTGTGAAAAATCTGCTCAGAACATGTATGCATTTCTGTGGGCATCTGTTTTCATCACTACTTTAAGAATGAGGTCACTCAGCAATACCAGTCCTGGAGTATATCCCACAAAGGCAAAAAAGTATAGTCGAAATGACATCTGCACTTGTATGTTCAATGCAGCACTGTTTACGGTAGCCAGAATCTGGAAAAAAAACCGAGTGCCCGAGAACAGATGACTTGGTTAAGGAAACTATGGTATATCTACACAATGGAATACTATGCAGCTGTTAGAAAAGATGAAGTCATGAACTTTGCATCTAAGTGGATCAACATGGAAAGTATCATGCTAAGTGAAATGAGTCAGAAAGAGAGAGACAGACATAGAAAGATTGCTCTCATCTGTGGAATATAAAGTAACAGAATGGGAGGCTAGCACCCAAGAATAGTAAAGTACCAGGAGGATTGCTCCACGGCTTGGAAGCTGGCCTCACATGCTGGAGAAATAGGCAGCTCAGATTGAGAAGGGAACACCAAGTAAAGTGTGGTTGGAGGACCCACTTGGGATGGGAGACTTGTGCTGAAAGTAGACTATAGATTGAACACGATGGCCACTCAGTACCCCTATTGCAAATCATAACACCCGAAAGGAGAGAGAAAAAAGGGCGGGGTAGGGGGGTGGGAGGGATACTGGGATCATTGGTGGAGAATGGGCACTGGTGGAGGGATGGGTACTCGAGCATTGTGTGACTGAAACACAAGCACGAAAGTTTGTAAGTCTGAAACTGGACCTCACTGTGATTCACTAATAAAAAATTAAAAAAAAAGTGAATATTAAAAAAAAAGAATGGGGTCACTAGGTCTTAGGGTTATTGTATGAGTAACAGTTTGAGGAACTTGGAATTTTTCCAAAGTTTTCACAAGGGTTCCTACACGGTAGCAATAATTACTTTTTTTTTTTTTTTAAGTGAAGCAAGAGCGTTTATTTTCGAGTTTTAGGAGACCATACTGTGCCAGGGGTTGAACCAGGGTTCGTCACATGCAAGGCAAGCTTCTTGATC